CGCCTGGTAGAGGCTTCTTGTGGGATGGATTACCCGGTGTCTTAATGTCGGTTTATTGAAGAAGAACTTCATGGCACAATTGTACATGGCCAACGTATGGCAATGCAGCTATTGAACATAGTACAAAAAGAAAAGGGTATAGAATGAAAAGTATGGCTAATCATGGGTTTCAGTATTTTCGTATGAGTTGAGTTGCCAGATCACAATCAGTCAGATACATCTGCCATGGTGGTTTCCTCAACAGGTTGATGCTGTAAAAGACTATGAACGATCATGCATTCCAGACAATTTCAAACTATTTTCTCTATTATCCAAAAGAAATATATAACTGAATGATGTTTGAAAAAGCTAAACATGCATTTTTGTTGTGTACATAGTTGTTTTTATAACCACTTCATAAAATACAGAATGAACACGTATCCGTCAAGTGTCGTGAGAATAACGTCCGTGTTCCAAACTCTCGCGAGTTCGCGTTCGGAAGCGATGGGTCATTTTAATATACTTATCCCGATTAACACGACAGTGGTCGTTGAAAATTCTATCTCAATGTACCTTTGTGTTGGAATAAAGTTTAACATCGCACTATGAATACAATGGTTTATAGGAAGAGATCAAGCCTCTTGTCACCATATACACCGACGAAAAGATAGGACATTAAACTCTTTATTATTTCAAGCCGTGTCACTTAATCCTCTTCAAATAATCACGGATCTTATCACGAATAATGTTAACGTACGTTTCCACAATGTTTAAGATATGAGATACAAAAATAAACCGTTGCCACCGAGATTCCGTCCCACATCCTAAGGTAAGAAGTTCTCTTCTCTAACCGGCCGTTGAAGGTTCACAAAGGCACTGTCATAAATGGTCTTTCCCACAGTGGCGCACTGTATCATACGTTTTGGTTCATGCCAAAGGGAGAGAAAAAAGGTTTCTTCACCAGTGATACCTGAAATACGCGAAGACGACAAACAAATCGTTTTGTCTGATTTTGTTGTTTTGTGGTGTAGCCAGTTTCTCATTTCATTTCATTTATTAAACTAGGGGTTACATGCCGCCATTTTCAATCTGCTCTACACACATAAAACAAACCATACTGAAGTAACAAAATAGAAAAAAGGTAAGATTTTGGCTAAATATCGTTACATTGCTCATAATGAGAAAAATGGTTCAAAATGATACAACAAACTAATGAAGTACAAAAAATAAGCCAAAGAAATATGACGAATGTTTCTATGTTGTTCCTGTTAGAGGGTTTTTGAGGTTTCACGCTGAGTGTTTACTAACACTTTACCTCAACCATGGAATGAATGTCACACTCTACTCCAGAAGGATAGAACATGGTCTGATATTATTTTGCACCATCAGCCAAAGCCAATATGTTGTAAATGCCCTGTGTGTGTTACTTTGTTTCCCACTGTTAAGTTTTAGGACTTCCCTGCGGAGGCGACTGTGACACTGAGAGTCACTCACTAAGAACCTGGCACCTAACCCATCAAGATTGATGATGTTTGGCTAACATTGAAAATCCATGTAACATAAGAAACTGGAGCATTTCTCTAAGACCCGAGTCGACGACAGGACGGTGGGGGAGGGAGCGGCCAGAGTAAACACACGTGGCAGGAGAGTAACAGCCAATTTCTCGGGGCTTAGGACCGAAGTAGGTGGGATATGAGATAGAGACTGTGTCGGAGTGCAGGTTTGTTGTTCTTGGGCCGTCCCGGTGCTAACGGGGTGTGAATCTTGTAAACACGGTCCGACGTTTCTAGGAGAGGGACCGAATCTACTGCGACACCTGGGAAAACCGAGATTAGAAAAGGTGCTTTTTTTAATCTCCAGTCTAGCCGCATGTCAAATTGAAGCTTTGTTTTTGTCGCGGTTTAGCGCAACTGAAGGAGCATATATAACAACGCTAAGTCTCCAAGGGATGACACTAAAGCCGGCATTTCTGCTGCTAAAAACACACTTTGTTGGTCAAAATCTGATAATTTCTTGATTAGTTTTAGTTTATGTAAACAAAAAACAAATGTTATAGCGAATCAGGTTGTTGAGTTATGCTGTTAGAAAAGTCGTAATTGTTACCAAAAATGTGAATTTCTTTGCAAAGAGGAGTCAGACAGAGATAAAAAGAGGTCATTATCAAATGGTTGCATCAAAGTAAACGAACATTGTTGTACGAGTACTCCGGTGCGGCAAACGCAAGGTTTGGTGGCTATGGCGGGTCCGGACCGCCGTCATATCCGGCAAGTACCTGAGAATTAAAAGGTACCGTCATATCCGGCAAGTACCTGGGAATTAAAAGGTACCGTCATATCCGGCAAGTACCTGGGAATTGAAAAAAGTACCGACATATCCGGCAAGTACCTGGGAATTGAAAGGTACCGTCATATCCGGCAAGTACCTGGGAGGTAACTTGCATAGACGCGATTCTTCCAGTTCCTCAAATACGATAATTACACCATCTCATCCAAGGAGGATAATGGAACAATCTCAGAATTCCTTGTAATATACATTCCACAATACACATGCCAAATGACTGACTGGAAGCAACAAGCATGTAAACTTGTCATGTTGTCTTTCACTGTGCAACAACTGATACAATTTGATCAGTAAATTTAATTTTCTTAAGTTGTCAAAAGGCGCAGGAGAACACTGTAGTTTAGCGAAGTTAGGACGCCATATTTAAAGTGAATATTTTCATCAATGGCCCAATTGTGTTTATCACACAATTTCAAAAAAAAGTTTAGTTACAAAAGTCATGCACTCTTGTGGGCTACTTTAGCCTTTTAACAATTCAGAGAACGAAAATTTTCTGATCGAATTGTGTCAGTTGTTGCACAGTCAAAGGTAACATGACAAGTTTACGTGATTGTTGCTTCCAGTCAGCAAATGGAATGTGTATCGGGGAATGTGTGTATTACGAGGAATTCTGGGAAGGTTCCGTTGTCCTAAGTGCGCGTGCGCGTGCGCATAACCACCTGCTGCGCCTATGATTGAGGATCCGACAGTAAACCACCCAGGTGAACTCAACAAGCTGGATTTTGAAGAGTTTGTGGAAAAGCTCGGAAACATCGTCGAGAAGTCTCCAGTAGTTGCGGCGGCAGTCTGGTCCAAAAGACCGTTCTACAGTTTGCAAGACGTCCATAAAGCAGCATGTGACTTCATTGACGGGCTTCCAATGAACGGTGGGTGTTGCATAGTAGTATTTGAATCATGTTGTACGTAGGAATTCTGAAGTTCTTGTCAAACATACGCTAAATTTTGAAACTTCCCTATCTCAACGCATTATGAAAAACTCAACCATCTAACGGCTGAACTTTTGCGTCAAAGCTGGTGGTTCAAGGTGGCAAAAGCATCTTAATTCGATTCTTGATCATAAAATAGTATGAAAGATCGTTTATAGCGCACTTACACAAAATCCTGTCATTCAATGTTGTCTAACCGGTCTGTTCGTTCATTACATTCACAATCGTCTGCCTTGCAGCTGTAAAGGCACGGTCACATTTCCGGACCAACCCTGGGTGCGGCCGGGCTGTCGTATGGAACGAAAATTATGATATAAGACAGCAAAATACAAAAAAAAAAACGTTCTAGAAAATTAAACAACCCGGCCGGGCCCCGGCTTGGAAATGTGACCGTGCCCTAACAGTGAATGAAAATCCGGGTTAAAGGAGTCATAAGTTACAGAGAGTGTAGCCTGTGATTGCAAAGCTCTCGGTCGGAGGTTAATAACCCTTAGGGTAGCGGCCTCCAGGCTACAGAGCGGCTTACAGAGAGTGTAAAGAGAGAGAACAATGACAGGACGCCTCAACGACGTGTCCGGAAAAAAATAGCAATGTTTTCTATGACGTGATGAACGCCCCTTACATCAACAAAATATCTGCAGTTCCAACCAGGTGTTGTCATGATTCTATGTTCTCTGTCTTCTCCCACAGGTAAAGAAGGCCTACTCCGCTGTTTTCCTGACCTAGCGGGAACTCTGGCCCGAGAAAGGCGGCTGGGCTCGGAGTCCACCGGAGAACAGCGCTCTGCGGGACTGTTGGAGTTAACCACGGAGGAACAGACCAACATCACCCGCCTCAACTCCCGTTACAAGACAAAGTTTGGGATTCCCTTCGTGCTGTGCGCCCGTCTGAACAAGAAGGGGGCCATTCTGAGAGGAATGAAGACCAGGATCAACAACTGTAGGGAGGAGGAGATCAAGACTGGCATAGAGGAGGCAAAGAAAATCTGCTGGCTGAGGCTTGTAGATGCCCTACAGCCAGAGCAAGTGGTCGTCATGTCTAAACTGTGACATTCACACTAACTCTATCTTAACAGTTCAGACTACGACGTGTTGTCGGGACACTGGACAAACTAATTAGAAAACTCACTCAAAGAATAGACAAAATGATTTACTGAATAAAATCAAGTACCGTGAATTACATGACTTTTAGGAATCATTTCTGTTATTCTTTTTTTGGAATCTGCGTTTATTTGAGGCATTGTGTTCAGTTCCTAGACTAGACATAGACATTTTCGGCTTCATTCTGGTTTAATGATAACCAGATATGAGATAACCTTTATTGTACATTCATGCCCTATCGGGCTAAGTACAGGTGAACAGATGCAAAGGTATATATATACACGTTTGTAGTACAAACAGGACTACTGATACTGATCTAACTACATCAGCTCTCATTTCTCATTGTTGGTCGTGTGTTATGGACAACATGTGGACTTTAACACTATTGAAATTTGAACCACCAGGAAAGACTCTGGTCACGGTCTGAAAGTGCAAACGTCATTAGTACCGCTTTCATAATCTGCCAACTGTATATACATACATGTACATTGTGTCCTGACAAGACAGACCACACAGACCACGCATAACAACACTGTAACGGTCCTCTCGCGATACCTCATTGACAGATCATGACAAATCTAGATACATTTTTGTAATATCAATGTCGTCTCACGTACGTACCTACAGGTGGTAGTGGACCGTAAAGCTACCGTTTCATCTTTTATATGCAGCCGTTGAGAAAAGTCAATACTCTTGTATTGATGTAGGCTCTAATGAAAAAGGGTCACGTAGTTCGATGACACTACGTATACGGTCATGGAGCATACGTACTGAGCACTTCATAACTGCAACTACATGTATACTACATGTGCATCGACTGTGGTGTAGACTGTACTCAGCTTCAAAGCTATGGGAGTAGCCATGGGTGAAAATCTAGCTTTCTTCTTTCACTCTCCCATCAGATTTGGAGTCTGCGGAGGATGTCATCCATAAAATTAATTTACTTGCTGTAGCCTTACCTGTGGCCAACCGAAGCAGTGACAGCCTCGCTAATTACACGATTATGCCGCGACATCACTGGCCCTGGGCGCTGACGAGGCTTAATCAAGACCACATGCTTCGATCTCAGTTAGGTTGGTCCAACCGTTCTTTCTACCTGATGCTGAATGGTCAAACACAAGTTAGAGACGAAATCAATTTAATTCTCTTACGTATAATCTCAATACGAAACTATGGAAAAGCTTGAGATAAGGTCATGAAAATAAGATACATTGAAATATTTCGGACGAGGACACGGTACAAGATATTTTTGGAGCCGTTTTAGAATATATGTATGATATCAATGAACACTTAACAACTTTGCGTTGTGCCTACTTCACATCTTTGCGATGTGTTGATTAGATCATGTACATTACACCATGTTCGTGTCTTCGTATTCTACTTGGGTAATGACCCTATAAGCGTGTTATATCTTAGTTATTCTTGCAATAGTTTGTAGCAGACGCAGTACTACTTCAGAGATACTTACTGTCACAACTACTGTTTGTCACAACTTTGGTGTGACTTCATGCGGACGTCAAGAGTACTGCAGCATTTTCCCCGAAACGCTACTCCAAACCTCAGAAGGCAGGTAACCAAAGGCACAGAAGTAACGTCATCTCTATGGCTGCTGCCCTCCGCAGGTCACACAGGAATTTCATGTGACTATTTGCATTCCACGACCTGCTACTTGGTAGTTGCAGTACATTACTGTCGATTTTACCAAGGAGGATTAAAGATCTTCTAGATCTTACTAGCTCCCGAACAATGCACGCTATCAGCACGTCAAAATTCAATGTACGAAAAATTCTGTATGGCTAAGGATAGCAGAAAACTGCTATTCCGATCTTTCCGAAACACGCACATTATAAGAGAAAGTGTTGCTTTTCATAGGGAGTAAAGCATATCAGCCATATATATTTGGTATTGGAGGTCGGCTGCTCTAAACACTGCCTGATCCCAAAGGGTTTTACCTGAAATTTCACTGATTTTCGCCAGTAGCTACAAAATGTCATTTGTGAATATGGCTTAATTTCATATATTCATGGGTCAACTTTCCGCCAAACTGAAGTCATTTCGTTTACGTTTGGACAGTAAATATGACACCGTTCACTGGCAAGTTTTCAACTTCAAGATAAAGTACCAACACAGACGTGAGTAATGCCGTACGTCAGGAGATGAAGGATGGGCCTACAGGAGCGGCCTTGGACGGGCGGAGGTGTACCGTGGAGTGTGTGTCAGGGGAACACGGCTCCGTCCAAAAATAACAGTCTTAGAAACCCCACTCATTTACCCCCGCCCCGGGCTACGTTTAGTCTTTTAATTAAAGTCCCGATCCGGACCCCCTATAACCTTCTGTTCTTGAAATCTACGGAAGTCCTCGTGGATTTCCGACATCGAAAAATGCTGATATTCCGCAAAAAGGCACACTCTCACGAAACCTGCAGGCAACACGCCACGTCTTATCACGCGAATCGGAAGGACCTATTTTAGTTCGTTGAACTAATAACTCCGCCATCCTTCAGCTCTGTTCATAGAATCCGGAGCTAATAACCTTGGTCTGCCACCTGTACAAACAGCTATTATGTCCTGCCTGTAGCGCCGGGGAAAGTGAGACAGCTTCTTTTCAGCGGCCGCCATGGCAGCTCGGACGTCATGACGTCATGTGCTTTCTCATTGGGAATTTTGTGTACGTGCGAATCTATTGAACAAGTCAACTACTAAAAACTCAAGACCACAGCATATCTAGGTCTAGACATGACAAAAACTGGAAAACCTCCGCTGCAGTACTACGGAAAGACACAAGAAGGGCTAAAATCGAGATTGGCTCTTATTTCGTAACCCCTACCCACAGACATTTCAATTTAAAGACTATAGTCTAACGTTATTATTAGTGACATCGCAGATACTTGTACAGGAAACAGCTTCACATCCAAAATAGGGCAATGTTTCACAAAATTATAGACTAGAAGTACGATATACCATCAAATGTTGGTGGAGTGTGCTTTTACTTTTTATTCTTTGACGTCTTTTATTATTATCGCATACTCCTTTTCCCTCTTTTGATGTCCCTCTTAGAGAGTGCCCAGTTGTCCTGTTCAGAGAATCATCTCCCCCCGCCAGGATGTGCGTCTACAGGAACGGTCCTGCACTCCTCCCGGCCGCGGCCCGGGTGTGTTTATACATTCTCCCCACAGCATCTGTCAGCAGGTCTCTTTTGTGCCCGGCTGGAGAAGTGGGGCAACATTCCCTAACGACATCTCCACGGCTCCGGAGTCAAGGGGAACAACTTGACTCCTCCGACAACAAGATTAGGGAGGTGCGAGGTTGATGCGGATGTTTGTTAGTTTTTAAAGCAGGGGGACTTACCGAGGGTTTTTTGTGCACCTGCCAATGGATACATCCAACGTGTAATAATAGACCTTCCACATCTGTTATATGGGATTGGCTTTTAAGAGGATTCTTCATGATTTTACGCTATGGTGCGTTTTCGTTGTGGCTACTGTCATACATCGAGCTGCTGTGACGGTCTTCAAGTTCATGCACACACACGAACAAACGTACACACACAGAGAGATACGCGCACACCAAGTTGTAAGAATAGAAACGCGCACATACAAATGCACATAAACATAAACACACATACGCAAATTACACATATATACATGAAACCTGCGTACATGCAGAGTTAGAGAAATCCCAAGTGCTTATGACTCAAGTTGTAAACATCACCAGAATATAAGATTTATCCGAGAGTTTCCGTCAACTTGCAAAAGAACATGCGATAGATGCGAAAATGGTACTTAGAATGGAAGAAGAAGAGTGATCGAAACTGTAAAAAAAATATCAAGGAAATCAATGACAAGACTAGAAAGGCCAATATTTGCTTTGGAGCAAATACAGCGATGGGTTCACCACATTTTACGACATGGAAGGGAAAGAATGAGAAACACAAGGGAAAACAATGATTTACATTGATATAACTATAATATGAAGTAACATACAACTAAAACAACAGTTGGATAGCTATTCCCTACTTTATTGGTTAGGATTTTTAATTGCATAATGCAAACTGTTGATTTTCAAAATAAAAAAAAAACGTTCATGCCCCGCATTCCAATGCTGGAGCAGAAAAGCTTGAAATATCCTACCAAAACACTTGAATAAAGACATACTGTCAGTATGGAAATGCTCTGTGCAGGTGTTAATCAAGTTAAATCCCAACAGCCAATCAGCAAGAAATGCTCTGTGCAGGTGGAAATGCTCTGTGCAGGTGTTAATCAAGTTAAATACCAACAGCCAATCAGCAAGAAGTATAGAGGAAAGCTGCATGCCTATTGGTTGATGCCCTGCATTCCATTGTGATGACTCATGCCCAGACGTGGTAAACACGGCACACTAACACAGTAATACATTTGCTATAACACAGCCAAAAAACTCAAATAAAACCATTCTAAAAGCCTGTATCACAAAAATTAAAAAAAACGACCTAGGGGTATTTGCCCACTGTACCTCCATACCAAATTTCAGGACCTTAGGCCCTAAAATGAAGAAGCTGAATCCATTTAAAAATATGGCAGGAGGAGAAGGAGAATGAGAAGAAGAAGAAGAAACATCAGAAAAAGCAATATGGGTTCACCACCACTTCGTGGTGTGGTGAACCCCATAAAAATGGCAGGAGGAGAAGGAGAAGGAGAAGAAGAAGAAGAAACATCAGAAAAAGCAATATGGGTTCACCACCACTTCGTGGTGTGGTGAACCCATAATAACCCCAATCAAAACCAAGAAGTTTAAGAAACATATCAAATCTAGGAACTCAAATTGAGAAGTTTAAGATTTAGGACTGACAAGCGATTGTATCTAAAAGTTGCGTTAAGTATCGAGATGTTTTGAAAAGTTCTGAGTAAATTTATAGCAAAGGTCAAGCCGTGCCCAATCGGGTTATGCGGTCAGTTGTCCCGCCCTCCTCTCTCAGCGGGCCGTCAAGAGTTCCCAAGGATTCTACCCGAGTGTAAACATTGCCTCGACCCTCGCCGACTCCCCTTGTCGGCTCCGGGGGCTTCGTGTACTCGAGAAGGAAACCTTGGGGTAAAACACCACGGGTACAGGCCGGGTCCGTGGTTTACCCCGGGGGATATACACACGGGCCGCGCACCTGCGACCGCACCGCAC